AACAAGGACCCTTGCAAGTAGCCCCTCCCCTCACACCAGCCTCACCTCTTGCCTACAATTCTGAGGCAAGTCACATCTGGTCAGTTTCACTCCCCGTCCCCTCCTATGGCGACCGGTGCTTTAACAGACAGTGCAAAGGGGGTCAAAAGCACTACAGACACAAACCAGACTTTAGAAAAACACAGTGCAAGCCCTGTTGGGATTCACAGCAGGCATTTCCAATGTTTTTCTCGAGGCTGCAGGCTTGGGATTTCCTGTCTTCTCAGGCATTTGCTGAGCAGGCCAAGATCAGCTTCAGAGGAAGGCAGGAATGGGGCTTCCTACATTGCTGTCTGGTGGCTCACTCTGGCTCCTTTCTTCTCCCCCGCTTAGGGTCTTTTTTTGTGTATTCTCTCTCCTACTCCTGACACTTTTTCTGCCCCCAGATAAATGTCCGGCCACCTGCTTCCCTGAATCATGAGATCATGATACAATCAACAAATCCAAGTTGCTGAGAGGCCCCGGGAGCCACAGCTGGATCCAGCTGGAATCCTGAAGGCTGGCTCTAGCTACAGTTTTCCACCCTCAACAGAAGTGCGCAGCGGCTTCGCAGAAACCTCCTAACTTAACCAGGGCGGAGCAATGAGAAGCTATGCCAAGAATTGCTATGCGTATCCGGCCTGATTTAGGAGTAACTGATACACAGCCTAACACCCGCAGAGCACCGTTCTTATTAACTGTTCCCGGACTTTGCCCTGTCTTAGGTTGACTGTCCCCTCCCTGTCTTTTTGCAATGTAGAGAGGACGGGGTAAACAGCAAAACATATGACCCCCATTCTATCTCCAAACCCCACCAGAACAACTGGAAAGGAGCTGCAATGTAACAGTTAAAAAATAAGGCCGATCATAAACAGTTCCTGAAACCTAAGCAGCTGGTGAGTCTCCTGCCACATTATCCTTGCAGCAAGTAAGCTTCAGTAGAAACTCTACACTCCAAACCCACAAATCCCTACCCTTTGACTGATGCTAAAAATCCCCCCAAATAGGCACTTTGTTCCTTTAGCTGAGGGCGCACCAAATGAATTAGTGAACGTGGGTAAGAGCTGGAAGGCAACTACCAGAAGTGGCTGTGGGCTAGGGTTACAGGCTCTTCTTTTCCTGACCTGGATATTACAGGTCCAGCAACTTAAGACGCTTTAAAGGAGTTTTGTAAAACATGTTTTAGAAAATAAGGCAGGCCCAGTTGGGCACAGTGGCTCATGCCTGTAATCCCAATGTTTTGGGAGGCTGAGACGGGAAGTGTTGGAAGCCAGGAGTTTAAGACCAGCCAGGGCAATATAGCAAGACCCATCTCTACAAATATTAAAAAA